CGTCCTACAATGCCTCTCTGCACCACACCACGCCACCCCAACCCACGCCTCGCCATTGCCCGCCACACCACACCACGCCCCGCAGCGTCTCACCTCACACCACCTCGCACCGCCATGCCTCCTCTTGCGTTTCTTGTTCCGACTCGTCCCGACCAACGTGTTGATGCGCACCCGGAGGGGTCACCCGTATTTCCGAACGAGACTCCAGTCCCAATTACTCGAATGAGCGCTTGCACCTGAGCTCTTAACGCCGTTACGCTCCGTATCATTCCAAGTAATAACAAGGCGGAGAGATTGGACACGTCATTCGCTGCTCGCCGGGAGCAGTTACTTCTGTTTCAACAACTCTTCCAATCAGCAAAACACAGCTCCCGTACTTCCGATGCGAGTGGAGTCAATATATAGAAAAAATCGTTCATGTTTTTCAACATATTCCCAGCCTCTCGATTTAAGCACACTTAATGGAAAAATGGATACGTAACGCATGGCTGGAAACGTGCCTCAAGGAAGGGATGATTTTAATATGAATCACTGAAATTCATTCTTGAATTGAATAGGTATTTTGACGTATTGTGAAAAAAATGGAATGAAATTATCACTCTGAATTTCTAATACTGAGTATTGTACGTAAATCACTTTATGCTAGTATTGATGTTTTTCTTAATTTTTTAAAAGAAAATGCGACCATCAGTAGCGTAATCGGGTGGTTTCATCGAACTTGTGGTCAGTACTCTGGATCTTACAACTAGATCATGTGCCCGGTCCAAATATCACTACATTTTGACTCAAAGATCTCACAATACCATTACACAAAGACCGTGAGGTAAATCGAGAAAAATGAACATGTCAAGAGAGAAAAATAATAATACCAGGTCAACATTATCGCGCTTACTTGATATTTTTTTCCTATGAGCTAATGGAGTACACTACTATTTTTGTTTGTGCTTTACAAAATAAACTGTACCGACGCAAGCAGTTGCCTCCACCAGCACTAAACGAAACAATTCATTATAGGCATTTGAGGCGATGAAACCCGGTCTGTTAAAAAGCTGAAGCTGTCGGAGGCGAAACCGGATCGAGGTTCGAAAATTGCAGTGTGGTAGCGGTGCCGAGGGGGCCATCGGTTCCTGGTTCACGAGTCGATAGCCTGGGGCGGAGACTCGTTCTCTTCGCTGTCCGCTACTCGGCCAGCCGCAAAGCGTGCCAAAGGTGATCGAACCACGGAGTAGAAACGACAATAATTCGAATGACAACAATACGAATGTATCAGTATAATGATACCGGAAATGTATCTTAACCTATTATATTAGGTCGAAAAAAATGAATAATTAAATACAGTACATTTCGGGTAAGAGCACAATTGCCTATAAATGTAATTAAATATCAGTTGATGCACCCACTAAATTAATTGAATAAAGAATCTCTTTTGGTTTCCATAGGTTTTAAGTATCAAATGACCTAACGCCAAATTCCATTTTTTTTTTTTTTTTTTCAAAGTTGTGTAGAATCGAAAATGATAATTTCTTCCAAAGAACGCCACCCACCACGGTACGAAATCTCGTTCAACGAACTTACCAATGCAACACAGTAAATTATAGTAGGCAACGCGTAGTGCACTGGTATTTGCCCGGTGCTTATTCTGACGCCAAGACAGTTCAGGTACCGGTCATCACGAGTGCAAGTCGAGTTGCCTACCAATCAGGGGCTAATCTCACACGTGGGATATCGTTGTAGGGGATTTTCCATCATTTACGTTTATTGGTTAAATGGATCATCTTCGATCCTCCCACAAGCCCTAAAAGGTTTTTACGATTATTCCGAGGCAGCTGTTCGTTGCTACCACTTTTGAACATCGGCCGCTTTCCTTTACTTTGCAAGCGATAATCGCTCCAGACAATGCTGTATTCGTAACATTTCAGTTTAGGTGGTTCAGGGCATCAATTGATGTCACTGCAGTGCCTCTGACAGGAAAGTCCTAGGCTTCGAGTGCCGACGGTGACAGGATTTTCGACACTCGCTTGTCAGCTAGGTCGAATTCAGTCACTGTCTAGAGGAGATGTCTAGCGGCCGTCTGCTGTGTTCGGTAGTTTTCCGTGATTTCTCCGATCAACACCAGACGAATGCCGGAGCAGTACCTCAACAAACGAGCCACAGATAGCACGCGATCAATCCTTCCTCTTCCTTTTTATATCCTCACCCCTTCCTTACACACACTTACACTAACATGCACTACACTATTACACATTCAGGGAGACCAGTCAAGAGCGTAGAGCTTCACCCAACTGGGGCTCTGTTTCACTGGTGGTAGATACCTAGTTGCGGGGGGAAACTGTAACCGGCGGTAGGTCGGCGCCGAATCTCCGTCATTCAGCGCCGATTTCCGCCCATCTCCCGCGATAAAAAATGCACGACACTTACGGAACTAACGACCTTAGCAGCTGACGCTCCCGGAATCACGAATCAATCAATGAATTGAACTTCCAATACATGCAATATCGCTACTGGTATTTCAACTAAGAATCCTCTCGCGGTCGTGCAAGTTCGGTTGACGCCTTCGGCGCCAACGCCTTCGCGTCGGGTGTCGGCAGCGCCGTGGGGCTTCTTGTCGGAATGCCAAGGCTCGCTCCGCGCCCGCGATAACGGAGTCGCCGCGTGTTGAGCGGGGACAGTGCGCCTCGGCGATTAACCGGAGGGGAGCATCGCCCCGCCCACGCGACAGCCCGCAACCGAAGCCAGGCGAAATGTGGTTGCTGGTTGAGGTGCAGCTGGTTTGCCTGCGCACGTAATTCGGATGAGGTGGAAAATATCGGATATAATTTATTCGACGAATGAATGATTCTACCAATGAAATGATCTACAATGAAACTTATTTCGTATCTGTTACACGTGTACTACCTCTAGCATAGTGGCCAGTGCGCTACGTGCCCTCTTTGAGGTTCAAAACCAGGTCGATATCTTCATTAAATCTGTCGTAGTGAAAGCGAGATCGTAGAGAATCTTGTTTTCCCTCTCTCATATTTCGCTATTGATCCATTGGCATTCCCATCATCTTTATTACTACTAATTGTTTAAGCATTGGCAATCCTTAATGTAGGTAAATCGGCTCAAACACAGGAAATCTTCGTTTGTTACACGTAGTAGTGTTGCCACCTAGTCAAGCGTCACTCGGAGATTCCAAATTTAAGTTCTTCTCTCCAGCCTCCGAGTTAATCTTGAAAATATTAGGGTCATGAGATCAATTGACTAAGAAAAAACGCCTTGTGAGAGAGCCGTTTTCAAAATAAATGACATTGAGCCTCTAATAGATTTACTGCCTTAATGGATAACCTACAGTCAGATTTATTCCAAAATTGTTATTATTTAATAATTATATTGTTCTCGAACTTGCAGAAGATTGTTTTTCAACATCAATTTTTTAAAATCAATTTTATTTTTAAGAGGCTCATTACGGAGCCGGGCGCACTAATGATAGACTGGATTCTCCTAAATATCCGTATGGCATATAACAGATCTTTGATAAATTTCATTCTGAAATATTATTACTCGTATTTCTTTTATCAAATAGATGTTATGGAATTCCAAAAAATGTACGCTGGCTCTACTAACTGGATTAACGCATCTGAAATATAATAAAACAATAGGACATCTAGCGTTCATTGAGACAGCTGTATGGTCTTTCGTCTTAAGGTATCGTTGATGACAGCAGCCTTGATAAGAATTAAATAGAATGTGCTGATGAAAGATATGAGGTGCCTTCTCCGGCATACTCGCCTACGTCACACATATATCTTGAACCAGCACACTTGTTGCATGTTGTGTTCACTACCACAAACCTTCACAACCTTCTGCGTGAACTAGTCTTTACTAGTTAACGTTCAAATACTAAAATATAAAAATATAAAAATATTACAATTTACACCTAAGCATGTTTCACTGATTATTGTCAGTAATTTGCCCTTAAAATCAAGTAAAGTACCAATTACTCGTAGAGCAGTCGGTCGCTAGGATTGTACTTCTCATAGCGGCTGAATTCGATACTCGTAGCTAGAGTCGAAAATCAGCCACCGTCGGAAACATAACCCATTTTATGTCTGAGGTCCTGCATTGGCAACAAATACCAATCTACTATATCAGCAGGCGTGATCGCTGAACAAAGAAGCTTTCTACACCTAACGTTCATTTGACGTGTCAATAAAGCACAAATACAAAACCTCTTTTATATCGTATCGTATCGCTCACACAGTAAGAACGAATACGCTGATTTGAAGGACTCGAGCCAAAACTCCAGCGAGAATGATAGTCGTCGCAGTCTTCGCAGAGTGCGTCGGGTGCGTGATGGCGCGGCACGCGAAATGGACACCCCTGGAAATGATTACCCTGCAGAGTCTCGGCGTTCTGCACGCACAGCAGCCGTCACGGGCGGCGACACACGGTCGCACAAGCACGCGCAAACGTGCACCCCGACACGCGATCTGCGCATGCGCGCGGCCACGGGTGCGCAGCGACCTAGCGCTAGTAATGGACCATCTTCACGCGTACGTCACGTGGCTTACTGGTGGTCCATAAGGAAATGTCGATCTCCTCAAAAGACAAGCTTCTTTTTTTTATCAACAAAAAGGAGAAAATCTATAAACTTACAACAAACAAGAAGGAACAAGTATCACTTTAAAATGTAACAATTTGACTTGTTAACTTTGTGACTAGCACGGACGTCTTCGAGGGGGGTACCAAAGACATCCATGGTAATTAATGATATCCAGCTGCAAACGTTATTCATCTATTGAACAGTGCATTCAAGGGTCCAATAAAAGAATTACTTCATTTCTTCCAGATTGCGCTGCAGCTCAATTTGAGCTTTGGCAAACATCGGCAAACTTGGTTCAATAGTTTTCCAAAACACCTGCAATCTGCCAGTGGTAAAAAAACATTTTTTTCGTAGGTTCTTACTCCTTTGCCTTTTGAATCTGAAACACTCCCGACAAACTTCGTCGTTTCTTCATTCATTCATCTTCTATTTCTTCTTCTTCGTATTTTCTTCCTTTTTCTGCTTCATGCTTTCCTCCTTTCGCTTCCCCTATTCTTTCTTTTTGTCCTCGGGATCCCAGATAAGACAACAGAGGAAAGTTAGTACATTTCTTCCACTAAACTAAAACTCTCTTAAAGAAGCATCACGATCGCAGAGGGCGCTGCGAAACATAAATTGACATTAACGTCAAGCCGTATGCGTCAGGCATAATTCAAGGTACTCACCTAAATTTATAATGCCAATGCGACAAACTGAATTTTTTAACATTAAATTCATTTTTCGCGAGATCTCGAGTTAATAACGAATAGAATGAGACATTTCGCAGCCTCGCAGGTCACATGGTTATCTCAAGTGTTATTTATTTACCAGAATTACCTGTATCGGTAATTGCCATTATTACATAATAATAGTTATTTTAATAATTTGGTTTCAATTAAACTTTCTTTAAAGATTATTTTTAACAAATAGGTATTTATAATCATGTTATAGGTATTAAATATGTGTAAATTAATTAAATAAATGTCCTCTAATCTTCAATTATACAAATGAATTCATATTTTAAAAAAGTATATTAGTAGTATGGGAGCTATGAATTTTATCTTTAAGGTTCTCAAGGTCCGAAGGTTGGCGTATGCTACTCTAAATGTACGATAACACATATAACATTAATCCAGAAATTCTAAATGGTCACAATAGAACTGAGTTCATTGCGGGGATTATTTTGAAATTTAAATATTTCGCTTTTTTAATTGCAAAGTTACTTTTACAAAACGTTGTATGGACTCTCATGGAAAATTTATATTCAAGTTGTCTAGTTCACTAAATCTGGGCCCGGTATGTTGAGATCTAGGGAAAAGTATTCTGGGACGAAGAAATTTAATTTTCCTAGTATACAGTAAATGTTAATAGTCTAATTCTTCCTTCCGGCATCCCTGAGTTTTTCTGTTGAACCTCTTAACTCACAAGTCTATTCAGTCTGGTATGTAATAATGAAATTTTCTTTATTAATAATTATTACAATGTTCCTCAGAACTCTGTGACGAACAGTATTTCCATCAGAAGATATTAATATTTTGCGTCAATCTACAAACGGAGAATCTATTTTGAAATGAATCGACTCCAATCAATCATTGTTATTAAGATCTAACTAACAACCAATAGTCATAATTAATCACTACCATCAAGACAGTGCAACATATGCTTTCTATTTATAGTATATTTTTTCTATTTTAAAACTAAAATACGTTTTAAATAGCTGACTAATGAGAGAACAATATCAACAGCGTTGCACATGGAGAGAAAAGTACATCTGCAACAGATCTTCTCGCATTATTGAAGTCAACACACCAGAGAGGTACATTACAATTTTCATCAGCAACTTAAATAAAAATATCCGTTTATTTTTCCCCAACTATGTTAAATCGCTTTGTAAAATCGAAGATTACTTACATGCTGCTCTTGATCGAGTAAGAGAAGTCAAGAGAAAACACGATACAAACACCGAATAAAAACATAAATAAATCAGTTATTTGGAAGGAAATGAGTAAGACTATGCAACTCAAAATATCTTTCTTTTCGTTTGCAATGTTGTTTTATTGCCTGGTGAACAAATCATTAGCGCATGTAAAAATGAAAAGTATTTTCTATTATAACTGAAATGTTTGCATAAGAAGAGAAAGTTCAATATTTGAACTCACTCAGACTTTTTAATCTGCAAACTAGTGCTATGCAGTCCCCATCAAACAATCGATTGGGTTCGCCGCAGTCGCACATGTATTTGCAAAGACATGTCGACGACTAAATTCGCAGTTAAATTGTTTGTCCATGGAGGTGGTCTTACCTACAGACTTTTCACCGATGACTGCTTAAAAAGCTCTTGACACTCGAAAACGCTCTTCTCGCATTCCGTAATTTCGCGATGATCATATTTATGGGTAAGGAAGAAGAAACAGAAAGCACGAACGCCTTTGTTAGCACAGTGTCTATCCCAGGGAGACATCTGAATGAAAATGCAGGTATAAAACCATAGTCTTAAAGTACAATTTAATTACCCGTACTTTATACTCAATTAATTGCACACTTTCGTTTTCAAAACAGGTCACTTTCAAGAATAATTACTGCATTTAATCGGGTTGTCAGCTGCAGTACAATGTACTTGTACTGTAATTGCACGAAATGCCAACGGCGATTTCTCGGGGGAGGGAAGGGAGGACCATCTCCCACACTTATTTTCTTCGTTTGGATGTAAGTACTGAATAAACATGTGTTTTGATGTTTTATTTCTGATATGACGTGTGCAATTTTTGATTTGACAATTACAAGAAAATTTATTTTGATTGAGTTTCTAACTTACACTTTTAAACAACATGAAAACGATCGCAATCAAATTCACCCTGAAAAGGAACTACCTGCCTTCCCACCTCTCATGTGCTAGCCGTCCCTATCTCTCAGCTCTCCTGTGGCGAGAAAAGGATTGAGCTGAAAGGCAGAAGTAGAGAATCTCCTCCCTTGAAATGATATCGATTGGCGTATTTTGAACTAGAAAAACGAAACGGGCGGAAAGTCGTGTATCACATTTATAGGCAAAGGTTAAACGTGGACAGCGTAGCAGGTCTTTGTAATCTTACAATTTGGACTGACCGAAGCTGTAGAAAATCGAACTAATAAATCTTACTCTTGTATCCCATAGCAAGCCGACACATGTAATCTAATTTGTTGTATGCTGAATTTTATGTACTTTAAGTAATCGCTTCTTTCCTCCTCTTAAGAAACATGCCCGACCCACCACTAAGAAATTCCAAGTAACTTCACTCGCTACAAACCATAGAGAACGTGTTAGCGGCTCCGCGAACTTGACTATCAAAGTACAGAGAAATACCAATGAAAATAATCAAACGAAACCACGTTCTTATTTACAGTACGGATCGTTTATTCGTAAATTTCCTACCGTTTAAGCACAACTTATTTTTCAAAATAAGACACTTTCAAAAAGCAGCATTACCTTGAATCGTACCGCCGACTTGAAACATCAAAATAATGTAGTTCAAAGCTTCTCAAACGCAGAATTTCGGCCAGGCTGACCGCGGTCGCACACAGCAGTATCCCACGCGTCATTCGCCTTTCTCTAGACGTGAGCCGATCGCGCCCGAGCGCCTCCCCTCTCAGCCCACCCTCCCGTCAGGCTGACTCAAAAGGAGAGGGCTACACCGGGAACCGCTGTTACTAGACCAGGGCAAGCCAAATGGACCGCCCACTCAAACGAGCAACCTCGATGCGCACACAGGCGGGCCCACCCGTCATAAAAGTTGAAAATCGTTCAGTACTACATAAAAATGTGACTTTACAAATGTGAAATATTCTTAAATTTTCTAAAAACTAGGAAAAAATTGTAAAGTATAAAGATTCCTCCAATGAAACGGACTAATTCGGGACAAGAACATGAAGGTACTTTCGAATCTCCCCTTAAAATATGGCCAATGTAGACTCGTTCCCTCACAGCAAGTTCTGAAAATGCGCCATAAAAAGTAAAAATAGGCCGAAAACCGTTAAAAATCTCGAAAAACATACCGAATGAAAATAATCCGCGAAAGTGCGACCAAGGCGCAGTCGATCCCTTCCACAACCGTCCAAATATTCATTTCAAAAACTGACTGAAAATTGGACATGTGGGCCTAGAGAAGTAGATTCCCCCCTCCTTGTCTAATACCGGGCACGCTCATTCTGTTGAAATAATATTACCCCGTTACAAATCATCGAACGCGTGTGGTCCCATGCGCTTCCTATGTCCTCTCGCTTACGTCGTGTTGTTGCGCGTCCTCGACCTCCTGTAGAAAGTGCCACGAGACCTCGGTCGATGCGAGTACCGTTGCTCCAGTCCCAGCCGTCGCTCGTGCGGCCGTATGCCGCGCCGCGCCGCGCCGGGTCGGGCCGTCCGTCTGTGTTGGATTCGCATGCCGGCGCTTGCACTGGGCTACGCGGCGCGGCGCGGCGCGGCGCCGCTCGACGCTCACCTGGAAGCCCCCAAGGCCGTCCGCCCCCGCCTCCGCCCCCGCCAGCCGTGAGCGCACTTCCCCGCTGGGCCGTGACTCACCCAAAAGGTCTTCGCCTACCGCCTCGCCCGCCCGACACGACCCATTGCGACGGCGAGCGGTGCGGCCTCTTGTTTAGGATATTGATCCATTGGTTACGTGTATTTTTTTTTTAATTCATTTATGTTCTGGATGAATTAACAAAGTTTAGTTGCCAAAATTTCGACATTACATTATTTTGTATTTATACAGCTACTATATAACTTCTATATATCTAATTTACATCTAGTACTAAACTACATTTGACGAGGGACTCACAGGGCACCTACATTGGTTTATTCTGTATTACGTACTAGGTTCAAGAATGCATGCAAAGGATATCCGTTTCTTATTAGAGTTTCTTATTCAGTCGACTTATTCGAGACGTTCTGAATATTTACCCATTTTGAGATTTCTGCTTTGGCTGATCACGTGCAGGTTTAAGTAAAATTTATTAGAGAGATAGGCAATATGGTGATTGGTTTGATGTTTAATTAATTCGGTGTGCACTTCCTTGTAGGAGATGAACCTTTTTTTTAATATTTTATAACGTATACGTCACAATAAAGTATTACCAAAATTTTGAAGATGAGTTTGTTTCAATATACTTTTTATTCCAAGAACATAAATCAGTTGTCTACATGTTAAAATCGTTACTCATTTGTGTTACAGATACATCAAGAGATAGTACATTACTTTTTATACAGTAATAATATATTTTTTTGTGATTTGGTGACACATCGGTGTACACTACTGCGATTCATAATACAAATTGCAAAGAAATGATTTCGAATAAAGATGAGCTGCGACGAAGAAATAAAAATAAGTCACATTTAAAGAGCAAATCAGGCATGAAAGCCTAGCGTGGTTGAGTGAGTGGTACAAAAGTACGAAGGTTCTAAAAAAGGGGAAGGATGTTCTATAAAATAAGAGAAGGCATTATACGCACAGGTATATTTCATGGGGCCTCTAATTTCGGCCTATAAAAACAGGTGAGCAGCTAAAAATTCTAACTCTCCTCCGCGCAGGACCAGAAATGTTTTTTACAAAGCTAAAATGGAGGTTTGTGATTAAAAAATAGTTTTATTGAATAAATTGGCACCATGAAATACTTAAATGGTGAAGCACTGATCTCAATTCAAGAAATAATAAAAACTAATAAAACATTTTTTTAAATCCAAAAACAGTACTTAAATGCTTTAATTTGAACACAATCAAATATGTTCGCCGACCACTTTTAAAAATTCATAGTTAAAAATCTCAAAATCAATTCTATTTAGATTATAACATGACTACACACTGCCAGATACTTACTGAGGAAGACTGGAGATAGATAAAATGAAAGGAGAGAGTGAACAAGTGAGTAGGGAAACAAAAACAAATCACATCACATCCCTTTACCTCTTTCCTGACTTAGAGAAATGTTTGTGGAAAAGGCAGATAACTTTTAATAAGAGCTAGGAATGTAAACTAAGTGATGTGTCTGCCCTCAAGACATTTACTGATCGTTGTCATCTCGAGTATATTAATGTAGTTAATACGTTCATAATTGCAATTAGTGATTTTCGGGAGGCATATTATAGTTTAAGAACACTTCTTATAACAACACTCACAGTAGACACTGAATATTACTAACGCTATGAAAGCCAGTGTCGGATCCAGAGTGGGCATGGGGGCCATGTCCCTTCCCCAAAAGGCCTAGATTTTTCTTTTGTTACCTTGTTATTAGGCAAAATTTATTTAAATATTTGTGTCATAATTATGTAATTATTTAAATAAAAATATTGTATAGTATCATATATGAACTACAAAAATAATACACAATGTAATAATAAATATTTATTATTTAACAAAAATCTATGATGGTCCCCTCCAAAATGAGAGGCTGGATCTGCCCCTGGTGATAGCACCGATCCTAATCACCGTAAACGGTTTTTTTTCTCAACATAACCCTTAACTCGCATCCAGTAGCCTTTTGGTGAGTGACCGCAAATTGCTGAAAACATCCTAGCTTTGAGTCCGCTTTATTGGAACTTAAAAGGAAAGGAAATTGAATCGGAGGGTGATGAAGGAACGTCGACGACGAAAAAACGACCAGGGAGTCAGGGAAATCATCTCCGCTCTGGGAAATACACGCCGTCTATGACCAGCGCCCTCCATATCAGAGGAAACGGGGCCAACACGAGATAGCAACACGATCAAAGCACTATAATAAGATGTAATTTCCGCTTTAAAGTAAAAAAGGCATTATATATCGCGTAGAATAAATGTAAAGCGAATTCGCTGTAAACGTTACGTAAGTCTATACATTACAGCACAACAATTAAAGCGACACGTACATCTAACTATAAACTACAATGTCTTCAGAAAGTCATTGCTACTTCTACATATATCGCCAACAACAACCACTGACTCATCAATTGCAATATATATATATATATATATATATATATATATATATATATATATATATATATATATAGATAGATAGATAGATAGATAGATAGATAGATAGATAGATAGATAGATAGATAGATAGATAGATATACAGAGAGAGAGGGAGGGAGAGAGAAAGAGGGGGGAGAGAGAGGGAGAGTCAATTTAGAGAACTACTAAACACTCGTTCCATTCGACTAGACAGGGTGATTATATTGATATAACAAGGATCATTTACAGTATCTTCTAAAGTAATTTATGAACTCAGTGAATGATAATGAACTAAACTCAGTGAAAGATAATTGTTATGTAGTGTTTAATTACAATTACTAAATGAACAAGTGAAGTGTTGAAAGTTTCCTTTTTGTACTTTCGATTCACCATCGTTTCCATTTCAGTGTATCACCTGACTTGGCCTCGAAAGCAACTCCGATTAAGATATCAGTTCGCTGATAGCAGTCGTGGACCTTGCTCATCAACCCAACTTCGCGACAAGTTTACCGCACAGACCTTGGATAAGGCTGAGAAATTGTTTGAAGAAGAATCAGAAGTATTAAGGTCCATTACCCAAGCAGAATGAAGCTCATGATGAGATGAAGCGAAAGTACTGAGCAAAATGCACGTGACAAAGTGACTTAGTGAACGAACAGAACGATGAAAGTGTAATCTAACGGGCAATGAACCTGCAAACACGGAAGAAAATAATTGGTACAGTTAAAATGATTGCTTCGACACTCTTCGTAGCAGACAAGGCCCTCTGACACACATTAAAACACGTACACGAAGAGGAGCAAAGTGAAAACTTAGATTCTGCTCGGAAAATAACTAATTTGAAAATCAAATCACATTGATGTTTTTTTGAAAACAAATTCAAATTCACTGATACTGTCTTAAAATACTCTCCAAGAGAGGAAAGACAAAAGGAGATTAGAAATAAAAACAAAATGTTGCAGACAAAAAATATATAAATAGTGAACTGGCCCCTACAACAAGACGAACAGATACCTTGCCATATAGGTAAAATAAAATAGAATAATACTTTGTAGTAATTCATTGAATAAAACCTAAACAAATAAATGGATAAACACTCCAAAAATGAAAAATAGAAAAATTAAAAGAAGAAAAGAGTGGAGTGTATGTCTTGAGTTGCAATGACTTCAATCCTACATTGGACAACGGACAGAAAATTATCCAAGAGCATTACGTAACACATTGAGTTTACAATAGAATAACACCGTTTTCGCTTCTCATTTCCTTGAAATTTAATATACTTTTGATCCCAACAAAAATTGTAAAATTTTGTATGTTAAAGGCAAAGGACGAAAATGAAATATAGTAGAACATTTCGAAATTCTAATATTCTACCTCCTGCCTCGGATATCAAACTAATGTAAAAAAATAATCCTATATTTAATGTCCTCACAAATCTTCCCACTTCTCTCGTCCTGCAGTTTTCCAAGGACACAAAATGGCGCCGCCAAGGGTGAATGTTTAACAGCCCTGCGTACTACCATTTTACTTGGGTAGGTGTTTTATTTAATAGCATTAATAAACTTTTTTATTCATTTGTATTAATTCTTCTGAACTTATTTCGTTTCCCTTATCTGAGAGGGGGTATTGAAGATGAAGTAAATTTCCTCGAAACATGAATACTGTCATGTAATTCATTAATGTAAAGTGAAATACATATTTTGGTGTAGAACGTGTTGTAGCTTGTCTCACGTTTTCCATCAATTATATCCAACTTTTTTTTAATCCGCAGAAGCTCAAAAGGTTGGACCCAGTGGCGGGTTTGAAACTGCGCAAAAGAAAAACAAAAGCGGTAATTATTTATTTCTGGTACGAAAACTCACATATAAAATTAGGAAAAAGTAGGGAAATGCGACTAGAAATATTTTTAAAAAAAACTGTCAAAAAATTCTCAATCTTATTCAATAATAACAGAATTATAATGTTGAAATATATGTTCTGACATTAGGCATTTATATTCGAAATATCAAGTTATGTAACATTAAACAAATATTAAAAAATAATTATTTACCTTTAACCTCGCGATTAATGAAACAATTCTAGGTATTATGTTTTTAAAGCTACTTGTTCCAAATTACAATTTTCTTTTTTAAATAAAAAAACAAACAATTCTTCTGAACCCAAAGAACCTTCACGACCCTTCGCTCGAAATCAAGTAGAAAAAGCGCAACCAATCAGAATCTCACCCACATTCTCATTGACTTCGGCCCAACTATTTCTAGGGCTGGTGCAGGCTCAGCGTGTGGTGGGGGAAGGGGGTCCGGGGCGTCGGCCTGCAGTGCCGCCCCGTGCCAGGAGATCCTTTGCACGCGAGGGAGCCGCCCTGGCCCCGCCCTCGCCCCCGCCACCCTGCTCCCTCGCCCATCTGCCGTTCGCTCCAGTACGTTTCCTTCAGCCCCGCCGCGTCGTGGCCCAACTGCTGACGAAATAGCAGCGCCGGCATCACTCATGGTATTATAAGGAAGCCCGTATACTTTCGGGATAGTGAGGCTCTACGGTTCGATTCCCGATAGAGGCGAATTTTCGACATAGCTAAACAGCTATTTTTCTGTCTGGAAGAGAATTCTAGTCCGGCTGCTCTGATCGGTAGTTTTCTCTCGGTTCACCTAACAATATCAGGTGAATGACTGGGCCTAACTATCCTAAGAAACGGACCACGGTTCGCGCGCGATCTTTATGCAGTACACTAGCACATGAAGAGAAATTAATTAGGGGCTTAGAACTTCACCTGGCTTGCTGGGGTGGCAACCCGCTGGGGGGAGCCACCTGGAGAGAACATCACCCCGCGGGTCGACGTGTAGGTTAGCGCTGGATCTCACAATACAGGGGGGGACACCACCAATTCCCGGAATAAAACTGTAAGTGGACTAATGGTATCAATGAACATAGTAGCTGACGAGATCGGAAATACCAGTCAATGAGTATAGAGAGGTAAACACGCACTGTTTTCTCCACTCGGATAAACAAGAGCGTCTGTGGCCTCTCTTTTTTCCCTCTGTGTGTAAACATGATACGAATGAAAAATCGGCTTATGATTTTCTTCAAGGGTTCGTGGTTCACCGCAAGGGTTCATAGCTGGTGCACGTAAACCCATATCTAGTGCATTTTTCTTAAACTTGTGAAGGTGAAAGTTGTTGCCATAAGCCCGGACGAGTAAAACTTATAACGCCTTCGCAGACAGGAGACGAAAAACTATGGATTGAACATCTCTTGCGAGATACATTGTTCATAGTTTCATAAAGTATTTGTTTTCCACACATGGTATATTGCTAGAAAACGTCCACAATTCATTTTTATTGCTTACTCCGCTGAAATAAGAAATTCATGTCTTAAATTGTGCTTGACCAAATAGCAAAATATACTAACTTCAATAATTCGTATCATGCAATAAATCTTTGTTCAATCCTGTTGAAGCAGAAAACTTAAAGGAGGAAGTACTATTTTTACGACATACGGAAAGATTTCAAAATTCAGGGATTTTATTTCTTCTTAAAGCATTGTAGCATCGGAGATATTTCAGCACAATTAATAATTATGCACTAATAATTTGAGAATGGAAGTAACTCAGAAACACTGAAGCCAAGACACTCCCGCACGATGCAACTTGCGTATATAAGAAGACTTTATAAGAAACCATATGACACAATCCAGGAGGGGCAGTGGAAAATAACCAGAAAAACAAGGGTAAAGTAGGGGAAAAAAGAAAACAAGATGAAAAATAAAATTAAGAAGAGGAACGACCACAACTATAACTACAAAACATCACAACAGACCAAACGATTGATTCAAGATTCAAGTTGAAAGTATTCCATGTTGTTGAAACCCTATTAAGCAGGTAACAAAAGGCAACTGGGTTCTTGAGAACTGCTCCCTCCTGAGATGCGGCGAAAGCAAAGGTGGCCCACCCGTTGCCTGGGGACGTGCGTCTACCTGGCGCCGCAGCGGGGTAACACGAGCGCCGACATCCGCTTCCGGTGCGAGGACGCGTGCGGACACAGAGCGTTCGCACATGCGTGGCGCGAAGCGTATTCACCAACACGCGTGACTACTCACCATAGGCGTGCGCTCATGGGGTCAGGGGTCTGTGCCCGTTCCCCCGCACACTTCGAAAGGGACCCCGTAGCCTTTCCCCCCCCTTCGTTTTAAGCTGACAATTTGGGAAATTGGTACATGACATTTAGGGAAGAGCATTTACAAATTATTTCACAGTTAGCCCCCCACCCCTCTTATTTTAGGTTGCGCACGCTTATGACCCATGATACGGATACACTGCTTGTCAGATACGGTCTTCGTGATTTACGAATTTTGGGTCTGTTTCTCTTACGATTTTGGGAATGCGAAATCAAGTTCACCAAAAGTACCCCTCTTAAAATAGTAATAATAATAATAATAATAATAATAATAATAATAATAATAATAATAATAATAATAATAATAATTTGCCATGAGTTAAACTGAACCAGTTAGCCGATAAAAATCCTATAAGGAATACCCTGTATGAGGTTTAGAAGTTTTACAACAATTACTTGTTGTAGTAGCAGGCTGTATTACGTACCTACTTCATCAAAGCATTCACACTGAATGTTCGTATGCGACGTACAGATATAATCAAATATTCATGAAGTGACTGCATAATTATTTTCTCTTCTGAAAGGGGCGAGTATTGAAAATTATTTCATATTCCGCAATAAATATATTAACATCTTAGATTCGAGGTTAGAACGCCTGTAATGCAGCGACCGAAGAGATGAATCATTAGCCATAAAGAAAGAAATGACCTACTGGACAACTATCGCCCAAGGGCACTCCAAAAAAACGGAGTACTGAAGTGAAACACTGACCGCAAAAGTGAGCAATATAACAATAAAACTGGGAGACTTCACTCGCAACAAGTGAACGTGATTTCGTACACGAACCAAGAAGAGCTGAACAAACTGTCAAAATGTTTTTGTAATAATTAATTTACAGCGTTGTCGATCAATTGTTACTCCGTCAAAAAAGGCATTCACTGGAGCAACAACAAATATGAATTGTTGTCAAATCTTATAAAACTGGTAATAATATTTATTTCAAAACTGCTCAAGAACATTTCGTCATTTCAACAGAAGCGTCCTATGCCAATGCCGTCCTATGCCAACAACACGTTCATGCCAATGGAATCTGAAGAGTTTTAACCGCAAATACTGCTATTTCACATATCTAATTGACGAGACCCGCAACGAAATTTGTCAATAGCAAACAGAAAGTCGACCACGAATCTTCAAAAATGCATTGTGCGTAGCTGTACTTTTATACGACTTGTTACATCGCTCAATAAAATGATGATCACCTGCCATTGCGTCACATGTTAGTGTATTGTATCCCAAGGACGAACTTGTGAAGGGATAAGATAGTTTTAGAGAAAGTAATTGTTAGGAGGGCAATCTATTCTAGAAGCGACGGCTTCCGCTCGTACCTAAAAGCGGTATGATGGGGGTCATTTAGTCTCGTTGTTGTGTGTGTGTGTGTGTGTTTGGGTAATAAGGGTCATATCGTCACAATCAAGACATCTAAAACAATGAAATTCATATAGTGGATGTCAAGGTCAGAAAGAGGCATTACCGTAATTCACATTATTCGAATTAAGAAGAAAAATGGTCAAACTGACTCTCTCCGGTCACTCCTGATGTTAATTTTCTATTTCAGCAAGAACAATGGACAGTCACAAAACACGAAAATGTAGCGAAAAATGTTCCAGCATCGACAAAAGATTCACAAAGAACTGCAAGATAGACGACGAGAAATACGAAAAACGCGAGAGCACATACAGCGGCGTCCAGGTGACAACCGCCACCTTTTTGAAAAACCGGCGGGCGCGGCGGGGGCCCGGCGTCGCCGAGCAGGCCCAACAAACGACCTGTCCGGGTCATTCCTCTCGTCCGGCGAGGCCTTCAACCGCAGGGCGCCTGAGGGGCCCAAAGGGCCCGCACCTGCGAAAGGCACCGCACTCACCTGCAACCCGCCTTCAAGATGGCTGCTGCAACTGGGCGCCGAGCGCCGCTGGCCGCGCGCGGCGACAGCTGACGGTGAGGGCCGGCGGCGGAGGCGGGGCGGTGTGGCGGAGCGAGTGGGAGAGGCGCGCGCGAACCACTCGGCGGTCGTCTGACGACTGTACGCCGCGCCGCACTGCGCCCAACCGTCAGGCCGCCCGCACCACCGCCGCCGCCACGAGGGGGGGACCGAGCCGCGCCGTGCTGCGCCGCGGGCCGCGCGTGACCTTGGGATGCGCTGGGTTGGACGCCCCTGCACCTTGAAGAGGGGCGGAGTGCAGCAGATCGCTTCTGCCGACGAGGGCGGTAAGAAAGGTTTCTTCAACGCGGGCTCTCCTGTTTGAAAGTGGAAGCTGAAAGATTGACGAGTTTGTCGTTATCCTTTCGCTCCAATCTTGTGGTATTGTTTCTCTTTTTCTATGATACTGTTAAAATAAGAACGTGATAGATACTGCTATACTGCCGTCTCCATGAAAACAACTTGTAGTGCAAATGAAGTATTGTCTGTTGAACGTCAGGATTGGTTATTACAAATACCGATCAGTTTCCCATCATTTGAATAAATGTGATGTATATGATCAGGTTCATTATTTCACAGAACCAGTTACCAGTACCACCTGTTGTTCTCCTAGTGTTATTGCTCATTGCTCAACATCTACTCTAAAAGAGGGCCAAACATCTTTCAAAGATCTCCAATTCAGGGATAATTTACATGGATAAAGACATCTTTTATATTAAAAGAATTAGAAAATATGGTAAATCTGACAGTTGACGAAGACAATTGTCAAGAATTGTCGAAGACATTATTGTGAGTGAAGGTATCACAATGGTACATTTCACTGTTTTCTTGCATCTAGAACTAAAAGAGACAACTTCGTGCCTTTGGTTAGAAATATATGAGACTATATGTATTGTGGCTAATTTTAAAATGTGTAATGGAGTTTTAAGGCTGTAATTATGGGTAATGTGTAGGTTACTTTACTATTATCTGGAGGGTTGATGGCTAGATGAGTATGTCTCTCAGTAGCGCTGTGTTTGAGATATTCCATGGTAGAGCAGCAACGTTCTTCTATTTGAACCAAAAATTGTACTTTCTTCTATTTGAATAATTTAAAGAAAAATACAACTATTGTCCAGGATATTGTGAAAATGTACCGTGTTCGCGTAAAGTATCCTCAAAAATTAAAATTTCTTATTGATCCACTGAACGGCATAACTGGATCTTTCTCCTGACCTATTTACCAAGATTCTCTTAAAGAGCTTATAATCTGACAGAGTAATTCGTTACACAAAATTCATCCACCCATACAGTCATCCGAATTTTCGGGTAAAAATTGCGTGTATGCTCTTGCCACTTGGAACCAATCTTCACTATCTTTGAAAGAACTATAATTACAAATTTTCAACAAAAATGAGGTCAATGTTGCGAATTTTCAGAAATGCAAAACATTTTATCAAAAATGTCCAACTATTCCTTCAAATATTTTGAATACATAGTGCTAAATACACTGAATTACTCGACACATACACCATTGTTTATTTATTTGTTTAGTCAAAAACAGTTTGAACTGTATGTGTCGTGCGGGGGAGAAGTACCATCTGCCCATGTTTTCTTGAGCTCCAGGATCTCTTCTCAACATTTTATATATAAATAGTTGTATGATGAATAACGGTTTTTAAAAAACCTAAGTTACCAACTTTTGAAAACTATAGACATTTTCGCTCACGAATTATAGAAAACTTACTTGTATCAATAAAGGAACTGCATATTTTAATTTTTTTTTGAATTGCTAATAAATAGTAACATGCCTCAGAATACTACTCCTACCACTGCTAGTAGAATATGAGCTCAAAAACAAACAAAATGCAATAACAAAAACGTTCTCGAAGTGAAGCTATAGTATAATTGTTTCTGCAATCTAAAAGTCTGGGTACTATAAGGTGAGCTTCCCCAATATATTAGTATTCCATATCCCAGGCGAGAATGTACATTTGCAAAATACACACAACGAGCTCAATGAAGGCTGACAAAATTTGAAAAAATTCTGAATGAGTTACCTAATGAACTTCATTTAGTGTTTAATTCAGTTAAACGGATATTACATTTGAGGTATGACAAAATTGAGAGATCTAGAAATGTTACTTTAACGTTTTGTTCATTTCCAATGGAGCATACGATGTCCAGTTCGAAATGTAAAAATTCATTGAAACAATTTTTCCTCTCTTAACTATTAATTTTTATTACGAAACCAATTTAAAACTTCTGAAACCGTACTATTTATTGCTTTTCGTTCTTTTTTGAAATGAACATTTGTGTCCTCAGCGAACAGAACTGGCCTTCCATTTCATATGGCCGGGGGCAAATCATATTAAAGAAAGAGAATAACACCATTATCGAATCTAATGGGACCCCTTGCTGAATTGACAAAGCATTTTGATGTAATCTTGTACGTTTTCAAAAACTACACAAAGGTAATTTTTCAAATCTCTCAAATAATATCCTTATTATTTATATTACTTACATTTTCTATAAATATTGTATTAGTAAACACAGATGCTTCAAATAATTTCTTATGAAGTTTCTTGAGAACTCAAAACTTCTCTGTGAAATTGAGCTCAAAATTACGCATTTTCACAAATGCTCAAACAACCTTCATGAACGCCTGCAAATTTTTCATTGAAAATTTGCATACAGAAATATGTTTTAGCCTTCTATAATATTCTCAAAAACATATTTTAATTCAACTATTAGGGAAACGAAAAATAGATCAAAAAGATTTTTTGGCACTCATAGCAGCTGAGACGAGGGTGAGACAATATCGAAAAGCTACCCTACACTAAAGATATTAGAAAACTAAGAAGTGTGAGAAAGTATGTGACATTACGAAGCACCAATAGATGTTTTATGGCCTTCTACTTAATATTAAGGAGAAATTAACGTAATTCTGTAGCATAAAAGGCGATTTGCGCGCTGACAAAAATATCTCTTGATTTTTCGGACGAAAAATTAGATAATTCTTGGTTGGTACCGAAAACATGGAAAATTCTTGTAGTCAGAATCAACCTTTTGTGGGTCCCAAAAAATTGGTTAATGACAAAATGACAAATCGTCTGGCCGTCCGCCGGCCGATCTATCTTCATGTGAATGCTTGCGGTAAACCATTTACAAGATTTTTTCCAAAATTCCCCGACCTATCGGGCTGATATCGCGATCTCTTGAATTTGAAACGGATATTTTCATTATGAGAAGATAGTAGCGAAAACTGTATTCTCGTTGAATTTTCTGCATTTTCGAAAATTGCGAAAGTTGAAAACTTTTTTCGGCCTGTTCCAAATACTACTGTTGTGGATACACGTGACAATTTACGACTTCATTTGTGACCATTTATACAACCCGCCTCAAGGAAGCTTCGGCGATAGCGCGGTGCAGGAAGGTTGGAGCCATTTTCAAGAAAAAGTTGTTAGAGTATTCCTGAAAATTAGCAAATTTGAACCCATTTTCACAGAAAAATTTTGAGCTTTTGAGAAACTTCTTAAGAAATAATTTGAGACAGTTATACTCACAAAGTCAATGATGTACAGAAAACGTCCTTAATGTTATTTTTAACTATAAGACAGTTAAAAAAACGAATGGTGCCACAGAATAGCAGAGACTTTTTCGTACTAGTTTGTTTCTTTATCTTTTGAGTCTGAGCTATCTATTCGGATTTGCCCCACCCACTTCTCAGCTACCATCTGTTGGTTCCTAAACACTTTTTTTTCTCTCGTTGACACTTTTTTTTCGATTTTTCGCGTACCTAATCATAGAATTGAAATACTATTTCAAGAAGATTAGTAAAGGAAATGGTCCTTTATGCACATTCTTGTTGAAATATTTATATCCGCTTTTAAGAAAATATCGTTTAAGCGTTTCTGAAAATGCGCATTTCGAAGCACATTTTCGCCCAAAACGTTCAAATTATCAAAAAATCATGAGCAATAATTTCAATGTATTACACTTGTATTTACAAATACAACAATGTTTAAGAAATTCTCCCAATGTTAATATTAACGATAAATATTAAAGAAAAGCTCTAATGTAAATTTAAAATTACCTTTGTCTAATTTCAGAAACAACGAAACAATGAATGAAAGTAGTAATGTCATGTTATTCAATGCATTTAGCACCATCCGTACAAAAAAAACTATACAAATTTTGGAGCTATTTTCAAGAATATGACGTTTGAGTTTTTTTGAAAACACGCAATCTGAGCTCATTTCCCCGAAAAAAAGGTCTGAGTTTTCGAGAATCATTATCAGACATCATTTGAAGCACTGATACAAATTCAATAATATGTACAAATCGTCAGTAACGTAAGTATTAATAACGTGAGAGATGTCAAAAATATTATCTACCCATCGAGGTGGGTCGGTCCTCCACGTCCTGACGGGGGATGCTGAGAAGGCTCTCATGCATTCCCTTCTCTGTCTCTCATCGTCTTGCTTTTCATTTCATGTCACCATCATTCTTTTATGATCTCTGTTTTCTTCCTCGCTGGCCTTATCTGTATGCTAAAAGCCCATCTGTGTGTGTTGCCGTACATGGAGACCCGTGTCGGAGGGAATTGGATGACCTGGGATTGAGAGGCCTGCGCAGGCTCGTTTGCATGCCGCCTAGACGCTGAGATTTTGTGATAGTCTTCGTCGAACTCTGTTTGATTTGCAAACCCCAGCGAGTCCAAGTGACTGCGTGTGTAGGTGTGTACTTCCTCTTCTAGACAGGAAGCCATGAGCTAACCCACTCCCGACCAATCGGCTCGACTGGATCTTTGTCTAAACTCCACGGTGAGCGAGAGGGAGTCACGGCGGGCAGCGCTGTGTCATGACCCACCCCCCATCTCCGTGTCGTCCCTGACACCCCAGTGGGGTGTCCCCTTGTTGGACTCCATGGTGGGTAGGGAGCACGGAGTTAAAACAACTTCCATCTTATGGAACATAATCCCAACCCCTTGCACTCTTCCGGAAGGAAGGTGTGATGTTTTGAAAGAACCATTAATTGGAATACATTTTTCTCAGGGAAGAGGATAGACCGGAGAAACCACATTTTCCTCTTATGACATGCGCCGAGGAAGGACAAACATTTAAAAGTTTGAGTGCAATCCGTCTCGTGCGAGTCATTGAGTAGTCGTTCAGAAAGCTTCAAATGGTCGTGCGACAAAGGAATGGTACCGTTCTCCTTGAAGCGCACACCGACGAGCAGATTAAAAAGTTTCTGGTTCAGAAACTGAGGTGAAACTTCTCTTTCTTTAAGAGTCGAGGGGTAACAGACATGACATGTTCAGTGCCAAGAGAAAGGAACATGGAAAGAGATTACCATTCCTCTGATCTTGACTTTAGATCTCCTATTCCTCTAGGAAGGATTAGTTGGGGCTTTTACAATCTCCGCGTGCGGCAGTTTGTTTCTAATCCTTTGAACTGATTTAAATGCCAAAGGTTCGGCCATATGCAACAACGGTATATCGCATAAAGCCCCGTGTGAGCAAAGTGCGGAAAGTTAATGAACGATCCAGAACTCTGTATTACACCGCTACGCTGAGTGAATTGTGAACGAAACCATGCGGCTAACTATAACAAGTGTCCCAATTGTCTGTATGATACGGAGATCCAGAAGACCTCAGTCACAGAGAAAGTGTCCTTTTGGCAGGCAAAATGTCGATCTCAATGGATCCTTCTCCAGTACCGTGACCGAAACGTTTAAATCAACAGTAAGTTGCCAAACATTACCTACTGCTCACACAGTAGCTTTCCACTTCTATTTCCAGGTGTCTCCTGTGGACTTCCCTGAGGGGACATCGGCCCTGCAAGGTGGGAAAATATTACTTCCCACCAAATACAAGAAGTATGGCAAGACAGCTATTTAGACATCAAAGTCTAACCGTCCATTCATTTTACTCTGCCCGCATGAAGGTCGATGTCAGTCGACCATCCATCCCGGACTCGCATCAAAATGCCCTCTATTTCAATCACCTATCACATCTACTCCTACTCCTGAGGCTCGTTTTTGGCAGGAATAACTCAGCCTGTGCTCAGAAGGGCTCTGCCTCGGAGGAAACGTCAGTTGGGGTTGACACTCGGGCAGCAGCAGGGGAAAAGGAAAAAGGAAACGAAAAAAATCTAATTACATTTACTACGGCCGCCTATCCTGGAATTTAAATGTTTTTTTCTCCCGACGAAGCTGAAACTCTTGTTCCCTTACACGCCTTAGATAATCTATTTGCTACGGACGCATCTAGTTCCACCGTGCCCGCAATCGTTTCGCTTCGTTCTGGGTGATGTTGATGACGACCACAGCGCACAAGGCGAAGTTGCTACTTTGATCCATGCCTCGCTGCTCTCTACCGACGTAGACCGAGCGTCGAACAGTGTGCAGGTGTACCTTTTATTCCTCACGCTCACTGTATGTCATTCCTCCAGAACAAATGGTGTCGACCGATTACGTCTTAGGCCTGATAAACCAACTACCAACACCCTTCGTGATTGTTGGTGATGTAATCATTCACAGCCCTCATTAGGGTTCTTCCCAAGGGGCGTCATTTTAGAATTGATCATCGATACCACCAACCTGGTAATACTAAATACAGGTAAACCAACACATTTCACCATAGCACACATTCAAGCACGGCTATTGACGTATCCCTTTGCAGTCTTTACTTGTAACTGCTATGCAGTGTACCATTTTAGAATACCTGCATGGAAGCTCTCGTTTACCTACCATTGTCCTCATTGATCAAATACGACGTAGAGATCCCCCTCAATGGATCTTGCTGATATTCTGCGCTAATAAAAAATGGTCGACGTTCCAAGCTATTGTTGACTCTCAGATAAACCCTTTCACGATGTGGACGGAATGGCTGCACTTTTCAATTGCGCTGTAATCGCTTCTGCTTCCACTACAATTCCTAAATCAGCCGGTAAACCGTGGCATTCTTTCCTCTTGTGGTAAAATTCGGACAGTTCTAGAGCGGCGAGTGTCCGTAAAAAGGCACTAACAAATCTCAAACGTTATCCAACCGTGGAAAACTTTATCGAATTCAAAAGATGCAGGGCGAAGGCAAGGGGAACCATTTTGAAAAGCAAAAATGCATCGTGGAGAGCATACGTCTCCTTTCTCAATTGTCAAATGCCACCACGTCTGGTGTGGAGAAAGATGCGCAACACTCATCTCCAAATATAATCTAAGGTCTTCTTTAAATTGGACAGATGATCACTTCTGGTAGCTCTATAATAGTAGCAGCAGCAGCAGTAGCATTACGCTAGATTTGAAACTGCACAAGGCAGACGATACATCTCGAAACACTGGACTCCCTAGACTTCTCGACATGTAATCGTAGAAAAAGTTCTCGCTCACAAAAAAGTCGAGTTCGGCGAACTGCGCTCCAGACGTTTGTTTGGTTAAGGAGTGGGGATGAAAAATCGTCCATTATAATTTTCTAGAAAATCAACAGACAATTACATTCGAAACTGAGCTGTGCTGTCGCGTCAGCGAAAAGATATGTTCCAGGTCCAGATAGAATTCACAATCAAATGCTACAGAATCTTCCTGAAATGGCGACGCAATTTCTCTTTCACCTTTATAATCGCATCTTGGAAGAGCACACCATCCCTGCTCTTCGGCAAGAAGCCAACGTTGTTCTAGATCTAAAGGAAGGAATGGATTGATCTTTACCATCGTACTACTGTACTATATCTCTTATCAGCTGCGTTTACAATGTGAATGGTAAATCAGTGTTTCATGTGGGCTTTGAAGGCAAAATCCCAACCATACCAATGCAATGCGAGTTCAGAAAACATCGGTCAAATCTAGACCATCACGTTGAATTGGTAACGGAAATTTCTACGACTTTCGTCTTCAGACAACACCTTGTAGCCGTTCTATTTGATACAAAAAAGTCCTTCGACACTTCTTAGAGGTAAACCATTCCGCAAACCTTGCACTCTTAGGGATCGACGGGGGAGCTCCCCTTACCCCTCCAAAACTCCCTTTTGAATAGATCCTTCCGTGTTTGTGTTTGTGACGAGCTGCTCACCTTCTTGACAACGGCATCCCGCAAGGGTCGGGGCTGAGTGCCACTCTGTTTGTCATTGAAAGACCCAAGCAACTTCACCCCCTTTGGAAACTCCTTTGTCCCCACATAGACTTCGGACTATTTAACCTTCCAAAACAACTTGTCCCCCTTGAATATTAGATTCACTTCCGTGATTTGACAGCAACATATCTTGACTATATATTCATATATAATACCGATGGCTCACCTTCCAACGATGCAGTTGCTTACAGTTTTCATTACATTATGGTCATCAAGTCACTTCGAATTCACTCTGAGCAGTGTATTCACAGGTGAGTTGTATACAATTATCTGAACCCTTAAATTTATCAAATCAGCGTCATTGCGTCATCGACGTTTGGCTCCAAGTTCTCAATAAGGCACTGTACTACGAATTGTATAAACTGGGTGATCTTTTATTTATGTTAAATTTTCTTTCTGAACAAATATATTCTACCTTTGAAATTCTATCCATTTAGACTCGGTCCCCTTGTAACTTTTTAAAAGCGCCCAAAAAATCCTGAGTCGGCCGAAAACCGGTAAATAATTAGAAAACTGTACAAAAATTACCCGAAAATGTTACCTTGTCGGAGTCGATGTCTCCTATAACCGCTCAAAAATAATGTAATATAAATAAAATAAATAAATTTTGTCGCCGCTCGATCATTAATGCCCCCCTCCTGATCCCGATTTGTTTTTTCGCTGAACCCGCTTACGGGTCCCATAAATTTAACAGACTGCTGCCCTGCTAAATTTAACAGGGCCCTTTCAAATAGGGATTTTTTTGCACGTTTTACCTACTTTAAACCGGACTTTTTCACCTGGATCGATCTGAATTTAAAACATCGGTAGGGAGGTATGTGAGTGGTGTGACCAGAGACACCTATCTCATGGGTTGCCCAGTTTTAGATAAAGAGATTAAAAAATATAGAAATGAGAATGATGAAAATGTAAGAGATTTTTCTTTATACAGATGATTTTGGACTGTGCCAAATAGTAGGATAACTTTATTCAAATATTGATAATGTTCACTTCACGATAGCATTTTTTCTCGTACACTTAAGTTTTCATAACGTGGCGTGTCAGGGTCTTCTTCCCGATGGAATATGACATTTCGCGTCTTTCTCGGTTATGCCGCTAGAAATCTCACTACTTGAGACGGTCGCTATTATGCGTCATCTAGCGGCACGACCGAGACAGATGCGAAATGCCGAGAGATATTCCATCACAAACGTAGACCGTGACGCGCTAAGTTATACAACCGAAGTATATCATCATTTCCATGGTGGTGGTAACACTGCATATCGTGTTTCAAGCATTGAACACGTTACACGTGTTTGTCAATACCGTAATGTTTGGATTAGCTTAGTTTGTAAAGGAGAAGTTACTTTTAATTTCGGCGTTTAACTTAATACTTGCACATAATCGTGTGCATTGAAACAAAATGCGAGACAATCTTGAAAGTTTCTGTGACAGTGATCAGGAAGATCGAATGTCTTTGAATGGAAATGAGGAAAAATCAAAGGTAGTTGAAAAAAAGAAGCGAAAACCTGGAATTGTATATTTGTCTACAATTCCGAAACATATGAATGCATTATGTCTGAGAGAACTTTTAAGTCAGTATGGTGAGTTAGGAAGAGTATACCTGCAAGAAGATATTAGAGGTAATGGACAAATGTCATAGCTATATCATGGGTTCATTGTAATGTTTATATATTGTGTACTTTCGGGTGTTACATATTTAGAGACCTCATTACAATTTGTTTTAGCTTTTACAAAATTTCCTTTATTATATTTCTACAAAATTTGTAGTTTTCTTTATTCGATTGTTAGAAATCATTTATAAAACATGCTCATTCAATATAAATTTTGATGTCCTAAATAATGACATTTAGATTTAAAAATTAATGTCTATTGGATGATGGAATGTCCAGTTTAGATCAATAAAATAATTTTATATTGCCCAAAAGCCAACATTCTCACTAAGTTATTTAATCTTCATTAAGACTACAGTCAAATACAATACACATAAAATTGTAGAAAGAATTTTACAGACTTAACAGTTGTATGTGTGTGTCGTATATATATTTTCAGATTCGGAATATGTTCTTTTATACATCCAATTGCGTTGTATGTTATGTTTGATTTTAGCCTCGTGAAGGCTAAATAAATTAGCAAGAATGTTTGCTTTTGGATAATGTAAACATTTTGTACCGACTTAAACTTGAGAATATTTCATTGACTTTTTTATGTTGATAAGTAAATCGTTCAGAAAAAGGATGAATGTTTTATTCTTGTATGTTTCACTATTACACAGTTAGTGATTCATTACCTTGAAGAATAACTTCCATAAGGAATACTGCAGTTATTTTTGTTGTTATATTTTGTTTTATTTTTATCATTATGAAGATTTCTTTCAGATGTAAATAAAAGGAAGTTAAAAAAAAAGAAAACAAATTCCCGGAACTATGCTGAAGGTTGGGTTGAATTTAAAAGTAAACGTGTTGCAAAGGAAGTTGCTCAACTCTTGAATAACACCCAAATTGGAGGAAGAAAGAAAAGTCGATTTTATGATTATATATGGACCATCAAGTATTTACCCAGGTGATTATTCTTATTTTGACTTATTCTGATACTTGTATACATGAGGGTCACATCTCATCTTATTTCTCTACTTTGATTGTACTAAATTGGGCTCCTTTCTTTGGTCCTTTTTCTTTTTTGAATCTTAAATAACAATCTCAAATTACTTTATAGTAATAATTTTATATTACTTTGAATGTTGTTGAGTTTTGTAATTTTGTGGATACTATTGTTTAATAACTACTTCATGTTTACAGCATCTAAACATAATCCATTCTTTGTTTTCAGTTTTATTGCTGGGTATAAATAATTTTTTTCAATATCTAAAAATATATATGAAAGGCCATTTCATTGTGTGTGTGGGTGTGTGTTTTTAACAAATGTAATTCTATATTTTAAGGTTTAAGTGGATCCATTTAAGTGAACGTTTAGCTTATGAAAAAGCAGTCCATAAACAACGAATGCGGACAGAAATTAATCAAGCTAAGCGAGAAGCTGATTATTTCTCACTCAATGTGGACAAGAGTGAGAAGCTGAAAAAGAAGTTAGGAAAGGGACAGAAGTTAGTGAGTTTTGATGATAATTCTCAGGTGACAATACATCAAAGAGAAACAGAGGATCAGATTCTGGAGAAGAAAAAGAAGAAAAATGAAAAAACTGGACTTCATGATAGTGGGAGTAAGAATGTGAATGAAAGAGATGAATTCTTGTTAAGTTTATTTAGTTAATAGCCAACAAATGTAATTCTCATTATAAAGTTTTAGCTTATGAATTAATTTAAGGAATATATTTATGTCTGTTATCTTGTTTATTTAATTGTAATGGTCTTTTTGACCTTAATAAAACTGTCCGTAATATTTGTTGAGGATGAGCTTTAAACAAACAATAGATTTTTGAAAACGACCTCAAATATGGTCGAAACATCAAAAAAGAAATGGATTGAAAAAAAAGATTAGTGTTTTATTAAGGTCAAAAAAACATTACAATTCAATATGGATTGTTTATTGGAAGTACAATAATAAGAATACTATCATTCTACTTATGACCGGGTTTAGAGTAAATTGTAGAAACGAGCAAAATTCATACTTTTTTTGCACAAATAAAAACGAAAGTGTTGATAAATATAAGAATTTACTTTTTTGGGTTTTTGCTACTAGTGACAGCAGGAAATTTGAAAACTCTTTTCTAGTAAACAATATTTTATACTATAAAACGAACATAATTGGTAGTGTCTTTGGAAAACCTATTACATATTTTTACGGAACTAAAATCAGCGTTTTCCTTTGTCTGATAAAATTAGCTGAAAATGGCCAAAAAAAAGTAAGATTCTTCTGAATTCTTTTTCAATTTTGTTTGGTAAGTTAGGGGACACATTTTTTTTTTTTGAAAGAATTTTGAAAGAGTCTGGATTTTTGAGTGAATTTTTCAAATTATGATGAAATATAGTTAATATGTATTAATCATTTTAAAAAAACAGTAAAAATGTGTGTGTGTGTGTTGGATGGGAGGTGGGTGCATTTTCATGAGCTCCAGAATCCCTGTCCCACTCATGACGCATAAGTGAATTATGAACAAAAGTTCTATTATGCAGGAAAACATTTGAAAACTTGAAATTTTGCACCAAATAATAGAAAGAACACTTGCATAAGGAAAGTTACTACCCATTTCATTTTATAGAATTGTTGACAAAATATAGCTCTTCACTCCAGGTCCTACAACAAGGTCATGCAACGAAGAAACAAGAGATTAAAAAAACATGTGTTTATTGAAGATACATTTGTAGTCCAAAAGATCCAATAATATTGATGCTTTAGCACTTCAGATGTTTCTTGAGCTTGCTTAGAGCGAGCTTAACCATTGTCTCTGCAGTGACTCAGAATGTAAGGTCCTAATGTTTGAGTCTTGATGGTGGCAGATATTTGACACTAGTTAGATAGCTAGGACGAATTCAGCCTCTTTTTTGGAGAATTCTAAAGGCAGTTAGCGCTAATCAGTAGTTTTCCATTTTTTTTTTTTTTTATCAATTCCAGGTAAATGCCAGAGCAATACCCTAATACATGGACTGGGCATGATCTTTCTTTTCTCTTCCTTGTTTCCTTACCTCGCGTGCACATTCCCTACACTACCACAGAGGTGAGGAGTATTGATTGTATTTAAAGCTTGTCCTAGGGGCCATTCCCTAAACTAATGAAGCTAATGACCACAACAGTTGAAATGCTAGGCAGTTGATAACATGTGAAGCACCACTTAGCATTTCACTATATACTATTTCACTCCACATATATTTTCCACAAACTGGTCCAGTGATACATAATACCTTATTTTAAAAATCCTTCAACCTTTTTTCTCTTTTTTTTCTTTTTTTTTTCTTTTTTTTCTTTTTTTTCTTTTTTTTTCTTTCTTCAATACTTTTCTTCTGTTCACAAATTCTTTGAATTGATATTTATCGAATTCTGAATGTAACATGATGGTAAAGAGATTTGTATAGATGTTAAATAATTATCTTCTTTGAGTAATGTAATTTTACAATATTTTTTTAACGTAAAATAATCAGCTGTTTTGATAGATTTAGACTAGTCAAAAATAAAACAGATTTATTATTAACTATTAAACATAATCTGTGAAACGATCTTATATTTACAGGGTATTTGAGATGACATACATCATTTTTAACAAGGCTAATGTTTTTAGAAAATTTCTGCTAAATAATGACACTTTCTTCAAGGCAAATTCTCTCAAAGGAAGTTTAATTGTGCAGTTTTCGATGAAGCCAAAATGAATAAAATCTGTAGTGAAATCATTTACTAGAGTAGATGGACTTTTTGGTTCATCTGCTAAATTTGAAATAGTCAAACTTTCAACATTGAAGTGCATATCTTTTAATTAAAATTGTCCTATTAAATTTGTTTCAAGAACATGCCTTCCTATCATGAATTTGTTAAATATGTTCACCAGATCTGTGTTGTTTAACTGCAGTTCTCAAACTATTTTGGTTTTTATCCCCTAACTGTTTTAATTCTGTTATAGAAAGACTCTGAAATGGTTTTAGAGCAGCTTGTAATATTGTCAATTTAGAGAAACACACCTTCATGTTATAGTTGCACAAAATCAAATGTCATATTCTGTATGTCACAAAGCAAAGAGCTGGCTATTTTACATTCTACCAAAATACATTCGGGCATTTGCCAAGATTTCTGAAGCATCCTTGGGGTAACATATCTATAACATAAGGACTTCCGCTTTGTGAGGCCAGCACTGTGATCTGCACCGTAAGCCTCTGACGTGAGGGTGTGATCCGATGTACATTGTCTGTTTGAGGAAAAATTCGCACTCCGCTTTCCCACTGTGTGATGGATATGGGCGTTGGTGAGTCACAACTGGAACCACAGCTGGAGGAAAGTGGTTGGTGTGTTGATTAGAATGTAGGTAGACTACGGGGATTGAATCCTTCAATTGGGTGGCCTCTTTATCCCTCTTCAACATATCTAACATTTTAAATATGGAATTACAGTATTGTTGAGGGAATGAAAACATGATTTTTTTATATATATTTTTTTTTTTTTTGTCCTAAAGCAACATGGTAAATTTTTTAAATTTTGTTAATGCTGCCATTTACATCTGAAGGGTCAGTGACAGATAGTCATAAGCCTCCATTTACAGTTTTTAAGTTGCCCAGACCACGATTCCCTCTAGGCAACCTTCTTTCCACTCAGTATTAAAGATTTCAATAAACAAGGTGTATCTCAAAGCTGTATGAGTGTGGCTTATAACTGAATCGTTTATTTCAGAAACCCGTCAAACACCAAAATCCTTACTTCAAGAAAATTAAGAAAAAGTTTTCCAATTTATCTGATTTCAAAATGCTTGTATTTATTAAAGCTGTATATAATTGAATATTTTTCATATAAATATGCACTAAACTATGCATGTATCCTCTTGAAACAATAATCCGCCGCTAATGCGTGTTTTAGATTTTGGCGTTTGATGGGTTTCTGAAATAAACGATTCAATTATCACTTGCCAAGTCATTTCAGAATATGAATGCCTAAATATATGCTAAACTATAAGTAAACTACATTAGAAACACTCAACCTGTATATATTGAGGTAAGTACAGTTATGTGGAAAATCAATAATGTAGTTTTCGAAAATCAAATTTTCCATACCCATGTACATTTACCTTGGTGTACATGAAAGTTTCACATTGATAACTAGATTTGTTTTCAAATTATAAAGGATTCTGTACCAATGGTATCCATTATGTTCTCAATGCCCAAGTTTCTTTTAAACCATATTTTCCCAAATTGTGAATACTTTTATTTCCCACATTACTTTTTAACTAATATTTGGCCATTAAATTTCCCTGTTAGCTGTGATTTTCCAAAAATTTCAAAAATTGAAGATTAAGATTTTTCCTTCTATTAAAATTCAGGTAGAAGCTGCATGTTAAAAAATTGGCAAAAATTGTATTAGATTTATGGTTATTCCAATAAAAAATACTATTGTGAGATAAAAAACAACTTTTCATCACAAACTTTGCGATAAAATTGCTTGTAGTTCTGAATTTTTTCAATAACCAATGATGAAATTTTGTAGGCATAAAATACAAGTATCTAGAAGCATTTTGCTTTTTGAAAATCAAAAAAAGGCGATGACATGTTTTCACAATTGATTTTTAAAGATTTTTACCAATTTACGACGTCTTATGACATTGCAGTGACTTTGAAAAAACTTTATGTAAACAGACTTAGTTTTATGAATTTTTGAATGCAACAATACCATAAAGTTTATGACAATCGTTAAAAAATTGAAATAGTTTTAGATTGAAAATAACAATAAAAAAAAATTCTTGTTTTTATATTACGCTAAATCTAAAAATATAGTATATCACATTATTTTCAAACCTTTGATATTTCGTTGGCCATTTTGACAAAGAATGTCCCAAAAATATAAACATAAACTTGAGACTTCAAAAACTCATTTAACTAATAACAGTAATTTTGCATACCTGCTTATTGTACAGATCTTACCTAAGATTGATGTAACATTTGTGTAGCAAAATCTGTCCATAAAGCAGTTTCAATTTTCTTAATTTGTTATGGATCAAATTCAAAACAGGATTTAGAGTTTCTCCTACGCATATACAATTAGCAAATAACCTGCTCAGTAATGCAATAATACTTTAAATGCATAGATGAGAAGGATTCTACTGTCTTAAAATAAGGTTTTAAGTTACTGGTTTCTCTAAAGAATCGGATGTCCTTTGTGCCCGGATGGATATGTTTTCAGGTTCTAAAAACTAATACAATACTTACTTTAAAATAACCAGGGGCATTGCACATTTAAAGCTAACTCCACATTTTTACTGAAATATTAATTATCAATATTTCTCAATGTTAGGTGTTCATAAGAATTTCCAAAAATATCTCTGATGATAACTTATATTGCAATTTGATATTTGTTTATAATTAAATAACATTTTGAAACAAAATAATGACATGAAAACTAAAGTAGTAACTGAAGATGAAAAAAATTAACATTCATAGCACAAGACAAAACTGTCTGTCTGTACTTGTGCGTCAGCTCACATAAGGGCACTGAGAATGAGTTGTCTCATTGTCACACAGCAACATATACAGGGACAATGCAAGGAAAACGCACACTCTAATCTTGCAGGCACGCTGGCCAATGAGCTAAACAGTGAGGACAAGACAAAACAAATACTTCTAAATTAACAAGTTCGTGGTGATTCTTCTGGACTGAAATGCCTTCTGCAACTACTTTCTTGTCAGGAGAAGTTTAAGCCTCTATTCTCTTTCACAGTAAAATTGGTAATGTTTTAATAAATCAGAGATAATGGTGCATTTCTTGGATTTAAGTAATAAAGGGTACATGACCCCGCAGTGTCATCAGTGAGAGGAAGAGGGGTGGACCAAGAAGGAACCAAAATGAGGGATGTCTCAAGCAAATAAATTTGATACCAGACATAAGCAAAATACTGCCTTAGTGTATTTAGTTAACGAATAAAACAGAACTAAGAGCCATTTGGTTCAGTTATGCCATTTTACAGAAACACTACATTAACAGAAAAGGCATGACACCATAGAATAACATTATATTCTTTCATGATATTTCTAGCAAGTTTCAAATGAAGTGTGCCCGTGAGTGGAATGCTTTTAAAGTGAAGTGGCACATATTGTGCAAAAATGTAATAATTCGTCCAAGTGGTACAATTGTGTCTGCTCTTCAGTTTTAGAATATTCTAAGGTATTCAAAATTCTTTTGCTTTCGTTCACAGGTTCGTACTTAACGAGTTCTAAGTGCGTTTCTCAGATCTGTGGACAGGTTCTCAAAGGGTGTTGCTATTGACCCCTTGGGGCGGGGAGGGGGGATGAGGGTCGGTGATGAGCAAGGGGTCTATTGGGAGTCTATAGGAAAATATGAATTGGCGATTTATAAGTAGAACCAAGATTTCATTGATTACAAAGAAATATCTAACGAACTCCGAGCTGTAGCTAGGATCATGATTGGCAAGATTTGAATTTTGCGCCCCCCAAGTCTTATTTTCTAAAAAGAGAAACAACACACTAAATTTGAAAGTCTAATTTATATTTACATTTTGTATATACTGAAGCATAAAATTAGTTCTTATTGTTATGTAGGGAGGGAAACAATGGGAGTTCGTTTAGGCGTTACACTACCTCTTAAAAGTTTACTTTTCTGAGGCCAATCGGCAGTATCTGCGATCATAATTTTTTTAAATTAATTTCATTTTGCTGAAAGATCTTTCACTGCGTCAATGCTGGGCGAATTCAAATGCGTATTTCGGTATAACTAGTTACTAAATCATATTCTTCATGGCAATTAAGGATGTTATGAATGTGCAATATTATCTGCATTTTTACTTTCTCATTACAAAGTAAAGAATATTATGTAATGCTGCGCGAAAAAACAGCGAATTTTCAGCAGAAAAACTCTTATTACAGGGCCCTGGTAACCAAAACGTGGATACACCTAGTTGCTAAATTTAGGAGGGGGTGTAGCCAAAATCCGTGTTTTGTGAGTCCTTGCTACCGAAAATTCATATGACAGCAAATCGTCCGCCCGTCTGTGAACAACGCTAGCGGCTAAACCATTCAGCCGATTTTCTCCAAAATTTATATTCCTCAATCGATCTGGCTGATGACGCACCCCTTGAATTTGAAACCGATATTTTAATTTTTGGGAGTACTTTGCATGAAACCTCAGTTACCTTTTTTTTATTTAGCATGTAAAATAATTCACGAAAGCGGTCACAAAAAGAGAAAACACAATCCAAAATAATTGTGTGAGCCAAATTATCAAGAGGGGAAATAACTCCGTTACAAAACAATGCAAACGCAATAGTTGGAAAATGGAAAGATTAAAGGGACGTTATTTTACATATAACCAAAGATTAGTTGGTTATATGTAAAATAACGGTTGAGGTGACCAGTAATGTGCAAGAAACCATCCACCATTTTAGAATATAATAAATTTAAGTCATAGTATCGCCGCAAAGTGGACCATGAAGCCGGCGGAGACCTGGGGAGGAAAATAAATCAGATAATTTTGCAGCAGGAAGTAAGGATACAGCAGTTGACCTCATAATAGAAAAATGGGGAGCTATACAACAAGTGGTAGAATTCCGAGGGAAAGTCCCAGATGAATCGAGCCTTGGGGCGATAGCGAAACATATGCTGAAAAAAAAATTCGATGAGTGTGAAGGAAGCCCTGACTAGAGCTACAGAAAATATTGATACCCTGAAGTATAGGGTAAAAGAGGTAGTAAACGAAAAGAGAAAATTTTCAGGGCTCCTCTCTACTGAGTAGAGAGAAGGAAACTAAGGTAAAAGAAGATAAGAAAGACGTACAAAGTAAAAAGAGGGTGGCATCTAGTCCACCAGAAGAAATTAATAGAAGAGATAAGATAGATAAACAGAAGGAGATAACTACGGTGGAGGTTACACCAGGGAAAAAGCAAGTAAATCAGGGCGAGGAGATAGAACAATCTGAAAAGATAGATCAAATAGGGGAGAATTGGCAGCTTCAACAAAGCAGAAAAGAGAAAAATATACAAAAGAAGCCAGGAACTAAGACAACAGTCAGGAAACTCAATCCAGTATCAAAGTGACAGCTAGACAAGGGAAAACTTATGCTGTCATTATAAAGAAAATGAAGGAGACTGTGAACCCTAGGGATCACGGTGCAAAGATATTGGCTATACGGAGGACAAAAAAGGAAGAGATACTTATTGTACTGGAAATATTGCCTCATTGAATATGGCTTTGGAGAAAGCGGTAGAGAAGCAAGCTCCAGTGAGTGCTCAAAAACGAAAGCGTCTAATAGAAATTAGAGATTTTGATGAAACGGTTACTGCTAAGGTGGTGTTGGAGGTGGTGAGCAAAAAAATAAACATAGCAAGAGACCAGATGTCCATCCCCTGTAGGATGCGCA